AAACCAACCCCAAAGAGAACTGGGAGCAAATGGAAAAGCTCCCTTAAATCCATACAGGAGCCAACCCCACAAGGAAATGGGAGTGAAGGGAAAAGGGCCCCAAATCCACGCAGAAATCAAACCCACAGAAAACTGTGAGTGAAGGGAAAAGCCTCCCCAAATCCACACAGGAGCCAAGCCTGCAGGGAACTGGGAGCAAAGAGAAAAGCCCCCCAAATCCACGCAGAAACCAACCACGCAGGGAAATGGGAGTGAAGGGAAAACCCCCCAAATCCATGCTGGAGCCAACCCCACCAGGAAATGGGAGAGAAAGAAAAAGCTCCCCAAATCCACGCTGGAGCCAATCCCACAAGGAAATGGGAGTGAAGGGAAAAGCCTCCCCAAATCCACACAGAAACCAACCCCAAAGAGAACTGGGAACGAAGGGAAAAGCCCCCCATATCCACACAGGAGCCAAGCCTGAAGGGAAATGGGAGAGAAAGAAAAAGCTCCCCCAAATCCACACAGAAACCAACCCCGCAGGGAAATGGGAGTGAAGGGAAAACCCCCCAAATCCACGCTGGAGCCAACCCCACCAGGAAATGGGAGAGAAAGAAAAAGCTCCCCAAATCCACGCAGAAATCAACTCCAAAGAGAACTGGGAACAAAAGGAAAAGCCCCCCAAAACACAAGTTGGAGTCAACCCTGAAGGGAAATGGGAGAGAAAGGAAAAGCCCCCCAAATCCACGCAGAAATCAAACCCACAGGAAACAGGGAGTGAAGGGAAAACCCCCCAAATCCACACAGGAGCCAACCCTGCAGCAAAATGACAGTGAAGGGAAAAGCCCTCCCAAATTCACACTGGAACCAACCCTGCAGGGAAATGGGAGCAAAGGGAAAAGACTCCCAAAATCCACACAGAAATCAAACCCACAGAAAACTGTGAATGAAGGGAAAAGCCTCCCCAAATCCACACAAAAGCCAACCATGCAGGGAAATGGTAGTGAAGGGAAAACCCCCCAAATCCACGCAGAAACCAACCCCAAAGAGAACTGGGAGCAAAGGGAAAAGCGCCCCCAAATCCACTCTGGAGCCAACCCCAAAGAGAACTGGGGGCAAAGGGAAAAGCGCCCCCAAATTCACTCTGGAGCCAACTTTGCAAGGAAATGGGAGCGAAGGGAGAACCCAGGGAGCTGACTTACTTTCCTAATGTCATCTAGACACGTGATTTCTGGAGACAGGCCCCCGTGCACACACAGGAATTGCTGGTTGAGGAGGGCAGCGAGAGGAAGACAGTCAAACGTGTCCATGCACGCGTCGTACACTCGCTCCGAATACTTGATTCGACCTGGGAGAAGGAATTTGATCAGGCTCTGATCAACCAAAGCACTGATTGATAAATTCAGRGAACCCAGCTGCTGTGGGGATATGGAAACTCTCAGTCTGTGGCTCAAAAATCAAAATTTGCACCTTTGTATCGGTGAAAATAATGATTTTGAATCAAAATTTGCACCTGTGTATCAGTACAAATACTGACTTTGAATCAAACTTTGTACCTGTGTATCAGTGAAAATACTGACTTTGAATCAAAATTTGCATCTTTGTATCAGTGAAAATACTGATTTTGAGTCAAAATTTGCACCTTTTTATCAGTGAAAATACTGATTTTGAGTCAAAATTTGCATCTTTGTATCAGTGAAAATACTGACTTTGAATCAAAATTTGCATCTTTGTATCAGTGGAAATACTGATTTTGAGTCAAAATTTGCACCTTTTTATCAGTGAAAATACTTTGAGTCAAACTTTGCATCTTTGTATCAGTGAAAATACTGATTTTAAGTCAAAATTTACACCTTTGTATCAGTGRAAATACTGATTTTAAGTCAAAATTTACACCTCTGTATCAGTGAAAATACAGACTGTGAGTCAAAATTTGCACCTCTGTATCAGGAATAAAACCCGGACCCAGAATTATCTCCTGAGGTCGGATCCTTGAGCAAGAATTCCCTGAAGGAGCTTTGCATCGCTGTTCTCCCCCTCTTTTATTGCTTGGAATGACAATCATCCATCATTCCCTGACCTTTCCTCGTCACTGCTTCAAAAATATCCGAACTCTGCGCACAAAAATCATCTTTTTAACTGCAAGGTAAATGATCCTCCCCAGCACAAACAGGGAGGAGGCAAATCCTTCCCTYTTTTCCAAGTGTAATCACTGATCCCAGCTGCACAATCTGGAGCTGGAAGTCTTTTGGCACTGATTAAACATTGCTGGGCCTGGAAGTCAGGGAGGGGAGGATGTGTGTGCCTGGCTCATCAGGGGAGATGTGTTCCCATTTTTTGCATCCACGCTGGGTTTTTGCAACTGAAAAACTACATTTGGTGCCCTGCAGAACTCAGAGATTTGGATTTTTGGGGTATTTTTGATAACAGGGGCTGAAACAGAAGGGCAGGAAAACAAGACAACAAGTTTTTACAGCTCTGATGCCATTCAGAGGCACAAAAATCGAAGCCCACGCCTTCTCACGACACCTTTTTTTTTTTTCAAAAATATATTATTTAAATAGATTCCAATCCTTCTCCCACTGCTGATACTTACATTCCTGCTTGAAGGTGAAGTATTCTGTGAGGTGCCTGCACTCGTGGTTCCCTCGAAGGAGGAACAACGTTTTGGGATGGTTTATCTTTAAACTCCATAAATACAGCACGCACTGCAAGAGAGGCAAGGAGGGGATGTCATAAAATCCTTTTCCAGGGAACTCATCAGCCTGAGACTGCATTAAAAGGTTCTGGGAAGACACCCAAGGTGGAACCCGGAGAGAAACCCAGCTCCATAATGGGCAGTGGATTTGCTCCTGGCCAAGCAGGGGAGAAGCCACCGGGATTTCTCTATATTAGGGCTGCCTTGGAGAAGTGACAAATGAGGTCGTGGCCAACAGAAAGCAGCTCGGGGCTGGGTGGGGACAGCTTTGTTTCCAGCTCAAAGAGAAGGAAAAACCCCTTTTGCAGAGCAGCAAAGCAGAAGCAGCTGTTTGCTCCAGATGTTCCACCGGGATGGAGAGCAGCAAGCAGAGCCTTTGTCCATAAAACACCYGGAAAATCCAGCTTCACCTTCCCCACCGATTTCCTCCCTCCCTGGCTTTTCTGCTTACGCTACAGTCACGTGAAGTTCAAGCTCAGAACAGGAAAAGCCGAGGCCAAAAAACGAGCTGAGCTTAGCAAAGCTCTCTGCCTTTGAGCAGGGCTTTGCACATCCCCTCTATGAACAGCAGCACCTGCAAARCCGGCGCCTTTGATGAGACACAGAGCAAAGGCAGCCTCAAACGGGYGTTTTTAGCAGAGATATTTCATGCTGGCTTCCCAAAAAAAGCCTGAGGGGAGGGTTGGGAAGCAGGGAGGGCTCTGTGACAGCAGCACCAGCCCTTATCTCGCACAGTTATCACATTTCCCTTGTGGATGTGGAGCGCTGGGAGGACAATCCCTACCCCAGCAGCTCCAGGATCTGGATTAAAGCTCTAAGAGGAGCTTACCCTCGGGGCTGACAGGAAAAGGTTTTACACCCCACAAYGTTCCCATTCCGAGGCACAGATGGGAACAACCCCCAGAACCCCAATGAAGCAGCTCCCAGTTGGTTCCCAGCACAGCTCTGGTGCTGTTTAAGCACTGAAGTTCAAGGTGAGCTCTGCCTGAATCATCCCAAAACCCCCAGGAGCTGTAAAGCACCACCCGTGCCTCGCTTGGAATTCAACCCCACATTAACAACTTGATTAATTTGGAATTCTAGAACAGAACGGGGCCAAGGCCAGTAGCAGAATCATGTTTTATTGCATCTGTTACCAGGACGAATGCTCCCAACAAAACCATTTATAATTATTCTGGGATTTAAAGCTTTAACCTCGCCGTGTTTGCAAGGGAAATGTCACTTTTCTGGGCTGGCAGGAGGACTTGGAAGTTGCTATAAATGAACCAAATGACTTGGGAGAAAGAAGCAGCCCTGGCATCAAAGCAAGGCAGAGATACAGCATCAATAGGGGAGGGCTGGGGATGTAGGGRAGGCTGGCAGCTCGCAGGGGAGAGATTTTAAAACACATCTGAARGGTTTCAAAGCGAAATGGGGTTGAATTTGGCACCGCAGTTCTTCCTGTGGACACAGTGACCATTCCCTGTGGCTGGAAGTGCTTCCCAAGGATTTGGGGAGTGCCAGRTACCAGGAGGGCACAAAGGACGTTGAAGAACCCTCGAGGGCTCCAGAGGGGTTAGAAGGAGGAATGAGGAGGTTTTTCACATGCCTTGGATGCTTCCCGGTGTTTTGCACGGATCCCTTTCCCGGCGCTGTGCCCAGGAATTGATCAGAGCCTGCTGGCAACAGCCAAGGAGCAAATCCAAACAGTTCCAGCTTTTTGGGCTTAAATAATCTCAAATAATCTCAAATAATCTCCTTCTCTCCTCACCCTGGCTCTCGGTGCGAAGGCCAAAGCCAAGGGTTTGATCCACTTGAAAGCCAAGGGTTTGATCCACTTGGAAAGGGGAGGGAATTCCAAGAGGAATTGGGACTTGCAACCCCAAAAATGCAAGAGGTGCCAAACCTGCCCCCACCATAACCTCTCTCAGCATTCCCCAAATCTGGCATTTSTTGGGAATTTTCACAAATGGAGCCGGCCAGGCCTTCCAGAGTGGGAACAGAGGCAAAATTCCCAAATCCAGCACACCAATTCCAACTTAGAAGGCTGACTGGATCTCTTTAATATTATTCTGGATAAAAAGTATATTAAATCAAGATTAACAGATAATTCYATAATGAGACAGCAATCATGTGTCCTGCCATAATTGGATTGGAAGAGCAGGCCTGGGAAAGGTGTATGCCATCATCACACTGCTTTTCCTGATAAATCCCCTTTTTCCATGGGTTTTATTTCTGGTCACAGCAATTGTTTTGCTTTCTAATTTAACAAAATCATTCTATTCATTGTTTTCCAGCTTCGTGGACCAGGATGGTCCTTCCTCACCCACGAGCACAGACCTCTCTTGTGCCATTCTGGGATTTGGGAATAAAAGCTCARTGAAAGGAGCCTTTTTCCCACTGGGAAGCTGGTGGGAGAATCCTTCAGCAGGGCTCTGGAGGAATTCATCCCAATTTCCGTGCTGCCTGTCAGCCCTGAGCTCTGGAGTTGRGATCTGGGCTGGCAGTCTGGCTGTCACAGCAGCTTTGGGACAGCAAACCCTTCCCAGTGTCCCCTCCCATCRACATTCCAGCTTTCACACGGTTCTTTCCCTCCCTTCTCCCCTGACAGCTCTTTTCTTAAAAAAAAAAACCAACCAATTCACTCTCCATGGCCTCATTATACTGGGAATTCATGTTTTTAAATGAGAATTTCCCCGAGCCAGAGGCCCAGCAAGAATTTGTTGAATGATTTGTTGCCGACATCCAGCTGAGCTGATGAACTGAGAGGCTTTGRGGGGCTTGAAAGGTTTTGTCTGAGCCACAAAATTCCTTCTTTTACGTGGAAAACYGAATGCCTGGAGCCACAGGGAACACCTGGAAGGGATATGTGGCCCTTCCACCTCCTTGGCCCCCACTCTGGCATCTTGTTTCCTGTCTGCCTGCAGCAGGATGCAATTAAACCATCCCCTCGTATTTCATTCYGTTAAAAGGTCACTGTTATAGAATTGTGGAATATCCTGAGCTGGAAGGAATCCACAGGGATCAGTGAATCCAATGAATCCAATTCCTGGCTCTGCTCTGGGCAGCCATGGGATCATCTCCCCGTGGATGCACGAAGCTGTTGTTGACACTCCTCACCTTCCCAGCAGTCAAATTCCAGGGAATTCTGGATGCTTTTCCATCCCTCAGCCTCTGGGACACCCCAAACCTGCTCTTGTTTTACTCTGCCATCCCTGGAAGTGCCCAAGGCCAGGYTGGGTGGGGTTTGGAGMRACCTGGGATGGTGGGAGGTGTCCCTGGAATAGGATGGRATTTAAGGTTCTTTCCAGCCCAAACCATTCTGGGATTYTGTGATAATTCCAGCATGGAGAGACCATGCTGATCCCCAGCACCTCTGGAGATCTGGGAATAAAATCCCCGTGTCAGATCAATCCTGGCCTAAGGGCAGAGAGCAGGAGCTGCACATTTCCCCCCAGAATCTGCAGAATCCACACACAGACACAGAGCCCAACACCTCTCCTTTGAAGGCTCCAAAAAAATCCACCTTTCACCTCAGAAAGGAGCTGCTGTGCCGGGACAGAATCCCTTTTCCAGGCAGGATTCGGGGTTGGAAGGGAGCCAGAGGCTCAATCTGTCAGCCCCTTTCTCCCAAAACCCTCCACAGAATCTTTCCAAGAACCCCTCGTGACAATTCCTCCCCAAAAAAAGAAGATTCCTCTGCAGACCCAGCAGCTCAGCTATTCCTGCAGACTTTTTAATCCCTCYCTTTGTTATTCCAGCTGATTCCTGCCACTTTCCAAGCCCCTGCTCCCCAAAAAACCCTCGATTACATCATTTCCAACAGGGATAAAAGCTCCACTCCCACTCTGCCCTGYCTCTGTGAAAGCAGATGGCTGCAGTCCCGTGGGGTTTGTGGCATTTGCTAATTGCTGTCCCTTCCTGTCCCATCCCAGGTCTCCAGAGCCACCAATAAATCTGCTGAACCCTTTATCCTGCACACCAACAACTCCCAGAGTCTTCAAATCCTAAAACTGAAAGTCCTAAAATCCCAAAACTCTGAGATGCAAAGCCCCAGCACATCCCAGGTGATTTCTGCTCCTTTYTCCTGACCCCATTCTGGTGTTTCCAGCCTCAGGCACGTGGTCCTGCCTCTTCCTGCTCTTTTCCAACATTTGCTCTCCCCCTCTGCCTGGTGGGATCCTGTTGTCAACTGTCCCTCTTCTGTCCCCTGAGTGACAGCTCCAAGTGACACTAAAACTCCACTCCAGAAGGCAGAGTTTGGCCTGGGTGAGGATTCAAAGCTCAGTCATGGCATTGGGATATCATTTTCCTGCCCAAAATCCCATTATGAGTTCCCAACATCATTTTCATCCCATGCAGAACTCGACTGGGGGGTAAATCCAGCATGAGAGATGTGGGTGTGGTGTTTGGACTGGTTCTGAGCTGTGTTTTACTGATTCCGAGCCCTATTTTACTGATTTTAAGCTGCATTTTAACTATTCTGACCTGTATTTAACTGATTCTGAGTTGCATTTGATTCTGAGCTGAATTTTATTGATTCTGAGCTGAATTTGAACTGATTTTGAGCTGTATTTTATTGAGCTGCATTTTGACTTTTTCTGACATGCATTTTACTGATTCTGAGATTAATTTGAACTGATTTTGAGCTGTATTTAACTGATTCTGTGCTGTATTTTATTGACTTGAATTTGAACTGATTCTGAGTTGAATTTAACCCATTTTGAGCTGAATTTCAACTGATTATGAGCTGTTTTTAACTGATCTTGAGCATATTTTATGGAGTTGAACTGATTCTGACTTGAATTTAACCAATTCTGTGCTGAATTTGAATTGATTTTGAGCTGTATTTTACTGAATCTGGGCTGTATTTTATTGAGTTGAATTTGAACTGATTCTGAGTTGAATTGAACCTATTCTGAGCTGAATTTGAACCGATTCTGAGTTGAATTTAACCCACTGTGAGCTGAATTTGAACTGATTCTGAGCTGGTTTTAACTGATTTTGAGCTGTGTTTTATTGAATTGAATTGAACCCATTCTGTGCTGAATTTGAACCGATTCTGAGTTGAATTTGAACCGATTCTGAGTTGAATTTGAATGGATTTTGAGCTGTTTTGAGCTGTACTTTATTGAATTGAATTTGAACTGATTCTGAGTTGAATTTAACCCATTCTGAGCTGAATTTGAACTGATTCTGAGTTGAATTTAGCTGATTCTGAGTTGAATTTGAATGGATTTTGAGCTGTACTTTATTGAATTGAATTTGAACTGATTCTGAGTTGAACTGAACCCATTCTGAGCTGTTTTTCAACCGAGGTTCAACACTTTGGGTTCCCTCAGCACCCCCAAACTCCACTCCCTTTGTCACCTCTATACTGAAGTATCCTCTGTCCACGTAGTCCCCCAGGAAGAGGTAGCGGGTGTTATTGGGTGATCCTCCGACTTCAAACAGCTTCATCAGGTCAAAAAACTGCCCGTGGATGTCACCACACACTGAGGGGAGCAAGAACAGCATA